ATGCTGCTGAAGTTCTTCTAAGCCAAAGATTTCTGTTGAATTTGCTGTTAGCAGGAAGACCTTGCAAAAGCTGGGAGACTTGTTGTGCTCTACACCCATATTCATCAGCAGCACAGACTGTTTTCAGGTTTCATAGTGATGGTTGAGCTTTTCTGTTGTGGTGACTTAAGGGATGATGGGAGATGGGAAGTCAAGGCTTTGCATCAGACTAGTGGGGATCATAGCATCAGAAAAAACTGACATGCGCCTTCCACTTGTTGCGGACATCCATACACTAAGTACCTAGTTGGAAATTCTTGAAGAACTCAAGAAGTTCCATAACATGCTTCCCAGTATGCAATACCAAACCTTCTCCCTGCCTACTCCCTGCAATGAGATTTATGATTTGGGGGGGGGTGTGTCCTTCCTATTTTTTGTGTTGGGTAGCTGCAAGCAAACACAAATTTGTTCTCCTTTGAAAGCTTGTAAACTTGTAAGGAGAGTTCCTGAAGAGTACGTATCACTGGTGGCTAGATGGTCTTTTTCCAAAGTGTGGTACATGACCCAGGAGTGTTGCTCTGCAGCAAAAACAGCATGGCGAAGTTGGACATCATCTAAAAGGGCTTACTAGGAAACAGCCAGACAAAACTGCTTTGTTGGGATCCAGGGAAATAGCTGTATTAAATTAAGAAAGAGACAATATTGGAGTGGTAATGGATATACTGATGACATTAATGTAATTTCATCAACTTCTTACATTTTATTAAGATTCCTATACACAATGTTTAATTTAAAGCTGACACTTCTGGATACCATCTGGAGACAAGTCATTCTGTGAGCTCTTCAGGTTTTGCCTTAAGTAATTCAGTTTCTCACCATTGTGGGTACAGAAGAAAAAGCATGCAAGCGTGACTTAAGTATGTGTTAAAAGTTTAAAGTTGGGCTTTTAAAAATACTCAGGACTTTTGGACCAATCACTTTACTGTTTGGCAAGCTTGAATTGTTTTTTTAATGTCTGACATTGGTGACAAACATCAGACCTCAGTATAGAGGTTGATGCTGGTTTCATGCGGAATGTATAGTCCTGTAGTTCATAGTATGTACAGCTGTATTTGCAGTATGGTTCTAATTTTCCAAAATGTGTTGAGCACTTGCTAGCACACAGTTATATCCAAGATCAAAGCTGAGCCTTTGGCTTGTGACTAAAGTAGGATTCGGTCTTTGTAGCTTAGGAACTTCCTGAGCTGATGGCATGTCAAGATGGCAGGAAAATGCAGTGGATAATGGTTAGAGTGTTATATTAAAGGTAATTTTTATTTGGCACACTGTGAGCAATACAGTAATCGGTGACTTACAAAGACATTGTGAAGAAAATAACACCTTTCACTATGCAAGGCCTCTTTGAAGAAAGGGCTTTGATGATTCCAGTGGGATAGAAAGGGGGTGGTTAATGTTTAGTCTAGTGCTTTATCTCCTTTGAAGAAGAATAAATTACTAGTTTTCAACATAGAGGAATGTTTACAGGGGTATGTACTAAGGATAGCTATTGCTTGATGTAATGAATAGTCATAACTGGGTGAACAAGGTGAAGATGGCAGAAATCATTTGGCTTTGTTAAGAGAAAAAAGATGGCTGAGGTCTCTTAATAACAAAATGGACAGGTAGCACAATGGGAGGTGAAACTCAGTAGTGACAGATGCTCTTTATACCGGCAGTAGTTGTTTGAGAGTTAATAAATAGGACTGAGTTCTATTTATTGATAATGAAGGCAAAGCATTAGTAAATGAAAGCGCATACAAGATAGCTCAAACTCTATTATGCAATTAACCTGTTGAACACAATGTCACAAGATACTCTTTAACCCTGAAGTCTAGAAGGAATCAAGAAAGGCTCAATAATGAGTACCTAATCCAGTTACACATTTCAGAGAAGCTTGATGTCCACTTCTATCCCATAGAGTGCCTAGAGTGAATTGCAGACTTAGAGGGGAAGAAGTTTCCACAGATTGGTATTTTCTACTCCAGTGTTTCATAAAAATACTCACAATTTTCTTAGATTGTGCAATCCTCAAGTCATTGAGCTGATCCAGTATAATAACTTTAAGTCAGATGCAACAAAACCTACCTCTATTTGTATTGATGTGTAGGTAATCAGTAAGATATTTTCATTGTTTTGAGCAGTGCTGTCAAATATATTTGAGTAGGTTAATGATGAGAGGTAAGACAAACTTGAAAAATTACAAAATGAATAGTGAAACAATGCACAAATAAATTAATTTATAAATACAGTAAGAAAACGTTAGTAAAGAAATGGTCGTATGTAAGTATATTTATATTTTCTCTCCAAATTAAAATAAAAAACTTGGATGACAGTAAAATTAATTACTTGTGTGTATACGTATGTCTTACAGTTTTCAGTTACTAGTAGGACCCTGTGCCTAGTTGAATCACTATGGAGTATTTTAGGATGTTTAAAATTATGTTGTCCAACTCTTGAATAATTAGTAGGGTAGAACAAAGTTACATGTTATTTTTCTCCTATCATAGTTTTCTTTTAGAATGTATTCTTAATGTCATGTCTTTTCCCCAGTTACACATTGGCTGCCTTTTCTTTTCCTATCTGAAATGCATCTTGATCACTAACTTCACGCTTTTTTGATACATTTTGTTTTCCAGTTCAAGAGAAAAAACCGGGAGCTAACCCATCTATCTGAAATGAGCAGGTCAGGCAACCAGGTCTCAGAATACATATCGAACACTTTCTTAGGTAAGACTATAATGGCAGTTAATTGTTTGTCTTTTTTTTTTTTTTTTAAATCTGTGCTGTGATAGAGCTTTAATGCAAGTATCTTTCCATATTAATTTCTGTTTTCAGAGATTGTACACTTAGTGTTTCATTTTTCAGTGTTTGAACAGAGAGATCAGGTTATATCCATTTCCTCACAGCTCAGTTGGTTTGTGTATGTGGTTTTCCTGTGTGCATAATTAGATAAATATTCATATACATATTTTCATGTAACATTACAACTACTATATTGCTACCATACTAAGAAATTAATTTATAATGATTTAATTATATATTTAAAAGAGTTCTTCCACTCTGTTTCCTTTATGGAAGTTACTGCAAAGAGGTTTCAGTGTTCTGGAAGCACACAAGCACAAGTAACCTCATAAAATCTTGTAACACTCAGTTCTAATGCTTTGGTGTTCCATGCTCACACATAAGCAGGTAGATAAATATAAGTAAGTCAACATCTGAACAGAGTGCTGCTAGGAGAATTTGTGTGGTTTAAGAGCGTGGCTTGGTGGCATATGAGCATTTAAAAAATACATCTAAATTAGGATAACAAGTATTTTAAAAAGTGCCAGTCATACATGTTAAGATACATGATGCTTTATTTATCTGGTTCTTTTTGTGTTTTTTTTTTTAATAAGTGGTTATTTTAAAGTACATTTTATTCCCTGCTTGTCACCATACCCTAACTGGATCGCTCACTGTGTCCGTTGAATTTACCCATGACTGCAGTAACGTGCCTGAGCACTGCAGCACAGCAGGGTTTCAGACAATAAGGAAGAGGTGAGCCTGAGAAGCAGTATTGCACACTTTCAGGAGTCCTGAAGGTCACAGTGTATAGGTGCCTGAAAAGATGACCCTCTTAGGCTGGAAAGACTGAGATACCAGTTTCTGCTTGCCTTTACTTGAAAGCTTAAGGCTTATTTTGGCAGGGTAACAAAATGCATCTGTCAGCCTTTCACCTGAGACATCAGTCTTGAGCAGAAAATGGTCTAGAAAGGCAGTCAATTCTAAGTTACTGAGCTATGGGTACTGTTTTGAGGCTATGTGAAAAACTACGATACTTAGAATTGTAGGTACAAGAAGAATACAATGGGGAAAACACCTCATCTACAGAATTATTGTTTAAATAGGGTATTTTCAATATATGCAAAGTACATAAGTTCTGAGCCACAGTGTGGAGAGGGAAACTGTAATGAGTCAAATTAGCTAATTACTTTAATATATAATTTGTCTCCTGAACATCTACAGACTTGCTAACATTTGAAAGTTAGTAACATGTCATGAGAAAACAAGTTTTTCTGTTTTTCAAAAAAACCCCAACCGACTGTTTTCCCAAGTAGGGGGCTATATCACATGTATGAAGTTATTCATAATGACAGCAAATATATTCCTTGTGTAAGAACTAAGGCTCCTACATTGACTATAGTAATACACAAGGTTTTTATTTTTCAGAGTCATTAATCTGTTTTCCTATGAATGGCAAATGTAAGAGAACCTTCCAATAAGCATAGCACAACTGGGGTCAAAATGGCAAGCTGTCTTTCCCAGATGTTCAGATGGGTGAACAATCCTTTGCCCTCTGTGCTCATAGTTACAAAAGCAGAGGCAGTCCCATGGAATTCCTCTGGAGATCTAAAGTCATTCAGACAGACACTTCCTTTCACTTGAGTTAGTCTGACAGCTTAGCTTATGAACCTCCCTTTGATGGGCCTAAACTTTGTGCATATGACTGAAACCATAAACATCAAAGCACGAACACAAGCCACTGCTCCTCATCTGTTGTCGGTTTGCACCAGCCAAGAGCTGCAGTGCTCCGCCTCCCCTTTTCTTGATTGTCTGTGTGAGGAGAGCATGGGGGGGGCAATTGGGGAACTCAGTTCTGCAGGCTAAAGCTTGGTGACATTTCCGCAGTCTCTTGTTCGCTGTGATTTCTTTGGAATTGAAGTGCCCAGTAAATGAGACTCCTAAAGGGTAATTATAAAAAAAAAAGTGGAAAAAAAGAAAAAGTGAAGAAGCAAACCCAGTAACAGTCTGGTAGTTAGAGATGGACTTGCTACCCTTGTCTGGTCTCAGTGTCTTTGTCGAAAATTACTCTTTGCAGGAAGGAAAAGAACAGACATGTTTTAAAGAGACCAAATTTTCCTTTTTTAGATTTACTCCTTTTGTTCTCAGGTGGTTTTTTTAAGTCTTAGTTTTTTCTAGGCTCCTACATTAGAAATATCTTTTCTGGATTTTACTGTTTTTTTCTAGACTATTCCCTAAGGACCAGAAAAGGTGCTGATACATCTCAGCAAAGAGATCATTTGGAGGGAGTCATTAAAACTCTATATTGAAATATAGTATGAATAAAAAGAACCAAAATTAATACAAATTTCTAGCAATTTGGCAAATTCCTAGACCTTTATTGCACTATCCTGGGTTTCTTTGGGGGCCACAGATATCTTCAGAGCTCTATACCTCCATACTGTTTCTGCAGCAAACAGCAGGCAATTCCCTAAAAATACTAAATATATTCTCAGTTTAATCCTTGTCTAAAGTTTTGCTGGCACATACACTGATGAGGTGTATAAAGTGGTGCTGCTGACACTGCTATGGAAGCAAAAGCCCACAGTAATTGCACTGGGTTTTAGGGAAGCAGTCCTTTTGTCGGTATCATTTACTCTGGCTCGGAGGTGCAGAAATGCACAGCGCTACTGGTGCAAACTGTCTCTACATGCAGGGTGCTTGTAGATGTGGCTGGCAAAAGGCTTTCCAAGTTGTACAGTCTTAACACAATCAGGACCAGTCCGCAAGTATTGGGTCCTTTGAGTTCTGAAAAGGTTTTGTAAAGGTTTACATGAAATACTGTTTTGATTGGTTTTGAAATAGGTCTTCAGAGAATGTTTTTCCTGGAAAAGAAGACATTTTGAATTTCCTTGCAAAACAGAAGCTTAGATTTCTGTTAAGTTGCAGTAACAATTTTATAATGAAAAGATTGACCCTCGCTACAGTGCTGAGGATACAGGAGAAGTGGAAATCGGTCAGTTTAAAGCCAGTTCAGAAATAATGAGACAATTAGTGAAATAGAGCTCTACTTATGCTGAGGTATAGGTCTTGTTTATCTGTTTGTGGTTTTACTCCTCTTAATGTGAGGTATCTGTTGTAAAATCTCCAAGCATAAAAAAAAGTTTTCAAAAGAGTTAAAATATCCATAAGATGTAACTCAGTGGTGAATTTGCCCGTATTTGTAATTGCTTTAAAAATGGTTCTTTGTCATTCTTTAAGACAAACAACATGAAGTTGAAATCCCATCTCCAACACAGAAGGAGAAAGAGAAAAAGAAGAGGCCAATGTCCCAGATCAGTGGAGTCAAAAAGCTCATGCACAGCACCAGCCTAACTAATTCCAGTATTCCCCGATTTGGAGTTAAAACAGACCATGAAGAGAGTCTTGCCAAGGTAGATATATAAATCCTTGAATTTAAACTACTGGATTAAAATGGAGGGTGAACTTGTCCGTATTATTCTATCCTCTGCTCATAACCATTGATTTCTACCTGTAGCACCAAAGGTCTCACTTGAATAATATAAATTGGGTGAAGTGGAATAATAATAAGTAAAATCAGAATTAGGCCATAAGGGTTAATTTCCACATGAACAGAATTTCATCTGGCATGTAAATTAGCATTTGTGTATGCATTATTAAGGCTGCTTATTCATAATAATATCTGAAGAATGAAGAGTAAAACCACCACATGCTGTTACAGGAATGAGGATATATAATACCCCTATGTTTTTTGAAAAGGCACAACTGGATTATAGTGTTAAAGCTGTTTTTCCAGGTCTGGTCATTAGCTGTATTTTCTGTTCATTATTTGGTTTTTATTGGTTTTGTTTTTAGTGACATTCCCAATGATTTTTGCACCAGCAGCTAACTAGTTGGCAGCAATCTAAAACTGGCATAAAGTGATTATTCATTTAATTTTAGAACTTTGCATTTTTAAATATGCCTATCCTTATATTTTCAGGAATCTTCCCTTTGTTTGAAGAGTGTTTTTGAGAACCAGGGAGGCAGCAGCAGAGCTGCAGCATCTTCTGGAGGTTTCCTCCTCACTGAATTCTGTTGGCACTGGGCAGTGAGATAGCAAAGTGTGTCAGTTCAGCTCACTCAAGATACTGTAGTGGTTTACCCTCTGGAGCAATCCACTTAGGAGGCAGTCTTTCCTGTGAATTAAAAGCTGAAAAGTTAGTAGCTGCAGATTCCAGTATTACCAAATTAGGAGCAGCAGCTTTCTTCCTATGCAGAGTTTAGCATATAACTTTCATAGTAGCAAGGTTTGAATATTGATGAGTCTGCTCTTTGTAGCTGCTTCAATCAAAAATCATTCAAATTTGTGTTAGGTTTCAATGTGTTTGTTGCTTGATTCTGCTCTAGGAACTAGAAGATGTGAATAAATGGGGCCTTCAGGTTTTCAGAGTAGCAGAGTTATCTGGAAACAGACCTTTGACAGTCATCATGCATACCATTTTTCAGGCAAGTAGCAGATGTGCTGCTTTTTGCTTATCTTAGAGATTTTTCTATGCTTTGTAATTTTAATTGTCTCTCTTACCTTTTTCTAGGAACGGGACTTGTTAAAAACGTTTAAGATTCCAGTGGATACTTTAATAACTTACTTAATGACCCTTGAAGACCATTACCATTCAGATGTGGCATATCACAACAACATACATGCTGCAGATGTTGTTCAGTCAACCCATGTCCTGCTATCAACTCCGGCATTAGAGGTAAACTACGCTGAAGTGGGAAAGAGGCAGTCATGACAGAAAGGGACATACTAAGACTCTTCTAAACTAAATAGTATAATCTTTTTAGTTTCTGCATTTATTTTTTTTTAAATCTCAACACTTTTTAATGAATTCTGTTCTTTTAAAGATGTTTTGTGAGAATCTAAGCTTATTTACATGCAAACACTCTGCAGAAAAGGTCACATCTTTTTCTTCTTAAATCATGAAAGTTTGTGCTGTTGTAACCTTTTTCATTTTGACACAATGCATAACTTGTTTCCATCGTCTCATTACTAATAACACATCCTATTCTGTCATTATTTCCTATGGGGGATTCTCACTAACAACAATTAGTAGAATTGCCTATGGAAAATAGTGTTAAAATGGGAAAATGGGATTCCCTCAATATAGGGACCTAGATTCAAAGTACAGTCCTCCTTATTGAAAACTCTTTTTCATTGATTAATGATTGTTTCTTGATTTTCTGTTCATGATTTTCTAGGCAGTGTTCACTGATTTGGAGATTCTTGCAGCAATTTTTGCCAGTGCAATACATGATGTAGATCATCCTGGGGTTTCAAACCAGTTTCTTATCAACACAAGTAAGTTTGATGTCCATTGATTTTTCTCAAAAATTTGCTGCAAGATCTGCACATAGCACCTGAAAAATATGCAGTGCATTCCTTGTTTGCTGCTATTATTTTACTAGTAAATAGATACATGTTTGTATTTTAAACTGGATATTATTTTGCATTTCTTGTAACTTTATGAAGGATTAGCATAGTACCCTCTAGCAAGAATTACAAAGACAAGAACTATAAACCTGGCACTGTTTCAATGTATTGGATGTGGTCTCTCCTGGAAATTAGTTGGCTTACATTAAATAAATAAAAGTATGGGAGAAAAATGAGGGAAATTAAATAAAAATCCAAAAAGGAAGACAACAGTTTGTGTTTATATTGGGATAATATGATACAACCAAGGATAGCCATACATTTGTAAGAAATTCAGAAGCAAGCATACTGGCAGACCCATCTCTGTCTCTCCCTGGCAGCTGTACTTGGTTTCTGATGTCTACATACTCATGCCTTGTAGACTAAATTTTCTCAGCCTGTCCCTGCAAGCTATGGCAAACTTATTTTTTAGTTTTTTCTTTTTTGTGAGTCTCTTGCTGGCACTCTGTATGTGAAGGAAAAAAGCCCTAATGAAATGAGACCCTAAAGTCATCTCTAAAGTTGAAAGCCAGTGTACTTGTTCTGCATTCCTCAGGGCTGTTCTCTGCAGCATTGCATGAACCTCCCAACCTCTTTAATCTTCTATTAGAAGAAAACAATATTAGCTTCATTGAACCTGGTCATGACACACTTACTGAAGGGCTTGTTGCCCCAGTGCAACCTGCTTTGATTGCAGTGGTGTATATTACTACTGTAAGTGGGTAGCATGTTCTAGGTCAGTGCAAGTTCTGTCATATGATGTTACTTTTGCTGTCTGGCAACTTCCCCGTTTATAATTGACCCAGAATTAAAAAAGTTGAATACTAATAATCCAAACACATAAGAAGAAAAAAACTACAGAAATGGAAGCATGCCTAGGTTTGTGTATTTGATCCATCTGGTTGTACATTCATAGGTACTATTGTTTCTGCACTTGGGTGAATCTGTTACACTGGTGCTAAAATAGCATGACCTGAATCAGCAGTATAGTTTGAAGGGAGCTCCTTTTCTGACTCATTACTGCTGTGCATTCAAATAAGACCTTCACTCCAGTTTAGCTTGCATCTAATTTTATTTCCCTTAATGGCCTAAGGGCTACTCAGTAGTGAAATTCAATTTGATGACTCATCTGCATGGAAGAGGTTTGGGATTGACTTTAGATTTCTTGGTAACCAGTACAGTTCAGCAGCATGGTCTAGGAAGAGAGTGAATCAAGCCTTGTGCATGAAACAGTGTGTAATACCTAAATGTTTGAGTGGGCATACGTAAGTATAGTTTTATTTGTTTAATCACAAATTGAATACCGGGATATATTGGTGGCTCTGAGGTGTTGTGAGGAAACAGCAGAGCTGTTTAGATTTAAGCAGGATGACCGACTAGTTGTAGGAACCAGTAGTGGTACATAAAGCTTTCACTTCTATGAAGACAGTTGAACTTCAGTTACGTTAGGAGTGATTCTGATGCTGCTTATTTAATGCCTTACTAGAAATGTCTTGTTTTTCTCAATTCAGCTTTTGATAGAGAAGGCTTCTGTGTCAATCAGGTAACATCACTAACTGGAACTGCTGTTGCCAGGCTGAAAGACAAAGGGATTTTATCCTTTGAGTCGTGTGTACAAGGGACAGTGGTAAAGACCATCTAATTTAGGTCTCTAAAATGCTAAATTTTCCTAACTTCTAGAAGATAATTTGCATCCATTGAGTTTTGTTTTCCAGTGAACCGCACAATGTATTAACATTCCATTAAGTTTAAGAATACGTTTTTAGAAAGCATGAAAGACAGGTATTTTAAAGTATGTACATTTTGTTGTATTTCTGCTTATTCTTTATAATTACTTGCGTGTGATTTCTGCATATTATTTCCCTATTTAAGGATTTAGTCTGTTATGCAGTTGTCTGAAAAGCTGATCTCTCTTGAATGGTATTAAAGAATAAACAAAGATGGATTGTATTAGCATCAGAGGCGATGCTTATTTGATCAGTGTGACTCTGACCTTCCAGACAAATACTCTTTAAAAGCTTATAATGTGTTACAGAGATTACTAAGGGGAACTTCCTTTGATTTACACCTCCATTACAAAGTTGGACACATTTTAGATCGTCTGTAACTCCAGCTCTTCCAAAGTATTTTGGCAGTGTCGAGTGTTTTGCAGTTGGGGCTCATCAGAAGGCTGTTTGAAAGGAAAATAAACTAGCGTCTGACATATTTGTAAGCAGGCAAGCTTTGTAAATGTTCTGTGAAAGATGAAAGAGAGATCATTTGACAAATTCACTTTCTTTTTCCTTTTGCTATTATGGTTTTGCTGCCATCAGGACAAGGAAAGGTAGAGGAAAGGTTTCCTGATTCAAAAGATTGATCTAAGCAGGAGAATGGATAATGAGACTAATGAAATCTGAAGAGTAGAGCTTTTACAGGCACCCCATTGAGCCAAAGGGATTTTAAAACAAAGCTGTTGTAGAAGAGGACAAAGAGTAGAATAGACTGACGTATGGCTAGATTTAGGATAAAACAGCTGTAATAAACACAAATTAGTATCACATATGACAAGTGTGATTACATTAAAAGTATTTGGTTTCTATGGCAGATTCATTTGCAAGCTGTGTTTTAAACCATATGTAAGCTGACGGTGAAGTATCCCTGGGTTAGAAGCTGAAGCTGTGCAGAAAATTGTCGTAGATGCTTTTATTTGTCAGAGCTAGATGTTCAGCTGGTCTAGGAGGCAAATGCAGACCTTGTCTGTGTGCCCAGCAAAGGTGTTGCTGGGAAGGTGTATGTTATTCTCATAACATACTGAGTTAAGAATACTTCTGTTGGAGAAGGCAGCATTACAGCATCTGGTGCTGACCATACTCAAATATGAGGCAGTAGGCAAGGCCACTAATTACATTTTCAAGCCACATGACCATCCAAGAAAAAGACTAGAAGCATAACTGTTACTATTCTACCAACCTCGTCTCAAAATAGCCAATTATCATGGACTGATGACCCATAGGCTTAATCGGTGGAGCGCCTGAGTGCCCTAGCTAACTGCAGAAAGATATGGTTTGAAAACCAAGATGTGTGCTCTGTGCCTGACCTGCAGCAAGGCCTTAGCTGTGTATTCCCAGGTGTGGATAGCTGGATCGCTGCAACAATGGAATTTTAGTTGTTGTGATGGAGAAAGACATGAGAAGAGAAAACTCCAGTGTATGTTTTAGTTCAGGTGTGGTTATGCATAGAGTATTTTCCATGTGACCTCATGCAGATATGAAAATGTATTTCGAAAAATACCTTTCTTGTATTTTTTATTACTACTCCAGGCATGTGTACGTGCTTCAGTGCAACGAGTTTTCTTTATTTTCTTCAACATACTTTGCCTTTATTTGTTAAGATATTCAGTTATTAATCTGTAACTTTTGATACTGTGTGACCTATAAGAACTCTGTTTCTAAAAGTTCTTCTGTAAATCTTTATGAATGTAATAAATTTGAAAAATCTTAAGAGGCTGGGGAGAAGCACAAACTATAGTAACATTCTGCCCTGCGATTGTTATTGCAGATTCTGAACTTGCCTTGATGTACAATGACTCATCGGTACTGGAGAATCACCACTTAGCTGTGGGCTTCAAGCTGCTGCAGGAAGAAAATTGTGACATTTTCCAAAATTTGAGCAAAAAACAGAGGCAATCATTGAGGAAAATGGTCATTGACATTGTGAGTTCTGCTTTAGAGTCCCTCTTCCATAGTGCTAGCAAATTGAATAAAGCACAGAAGCTTTTATGACAAATTGCATGTCATTAGACCCATAGCCAATGAAGTAAAAGTTTGAAGTTATATTATGTCTTATACTAACATGAATAGTGTGTTACCTTTTTAGTTTCAACAAGTATCTGTACCTTTTCAGAAGGTATACCAGCCTGCTTCAAGCTGGTTTTGTACTGACATGTGTACCATTTCACCGCCACACTTAGAAATTTACTGCTGATTTGATGATGAATTTAGGCTGATCATATTATTCTGAACAATCATTTTGTCTTATTCTTAAAATAACCAAAATGAAAACACTGTTTTCAACACCAATGACATACATGACTCACTTTTATGATGTATGAAGACACGGGAAATACGGGTTTGCCCCAGAACTGTTGAAGTGTTTAAAGATGTTTTTAAAAATCAGTAGATTTATGTACTGTATCAGGAATTTATATAATGTTTATTTGTTTTTTTCTTTCAAGGTGCTTGCAACAGACATGTCTAAGCATATGAATCTATTGGCTGATTTAAAAACGATGGTTGAAACCAAAAAAGTGACCAGTTCTGGTGTCCTACTTCTTGATAACTATTCAGACAGAATTCAGGTAAGAAAATTCATCTGCAAATGGTCACTTATATCAACTTACACCCTCAATCAACATTGTCCTGCCCATTCTCCAGCATGGATTAGATCAGCTGTCTGTTCTTACACCATAACTCCCTGTGAGTCCTCTGAGAGTGACTCCTCCCTGTACTGAGTGACTCTCTGAGAGAGTAATGAGATACTAGAGTACTTGTGGACTAAATGAGGCTTTGGCCTTCCATTCAAATTATTGGCACCTGGTTGATTGTTTTCTAAAAGATTTTCTGTCCCTTATACAGGCAGAAGCAACAGAGATGAGGTCATTCATGACTATTACTGCAAGTGTGAAAAATACCTAAGTACCCGAGTTTTTGCTGTTTAGAATAAATATTGCACTACATGTATTTTCAAGATTCCATTTCACAGCCATCAAAAGTGTAAATGGAGCTGTTTTTCTCCAGTGTAATAACACCAGAGGTGTTCTATCTTTTTTAGGTTCTTCAGAATATGGTGCACTGTGCAGATCTAAGCAATCCAACTAAGCCACTCGATCTCTACCGCCAATGGACAGATAGAATTATGGAGGAATTTTTTCGTCAGGGAGATCGGGAAAGAGAGAGGGGAATGGAGATAAGTCCCATGTGTGATAAGCACAATGCATCTGTGGAAAAATCACAGGTAATTGGTTTGAGTAGGTAGTTAAATAGCACAGTACGACAGTTGAACAGAAAAGCATGGTCTGTAGCCTTGTTTTGATTGATTTCTGAATGCACTATTTCCTTTTTTTCTTCCTAGTAAATTAATTCAGCTCCTGAATAGTGAGGGAAGCTGAGATTTTTTACTGTGAAAATATAATGCATCGCAGTGCCCTTGCTGAACGGATTCCATTGCTGTGATAACCGCGAATGTAGTATACATGTCAAAAGACTGTTGTACAGCCACTCATTAGGATTTCCTTCAGAAACAGAATTAAATATAAAGCAGTTTGGCTCATTAGATGCAGTGGAGTTGTTTGGAATGAACCGTTCATTGAGAGCAAATGCTTTTCAAATCCTTATCCAATATCCTGAATCAGACTTTTGAATGTGAAATGTAAATGTAAAATGTAAATGTAAAAGACCCTATTTACTACATAAACCAGCATGGTTTCCTTTCAGCCACCTTAGAGTAGTGCATCTAGTGTCTCTTACTAGTGATGTATTTTTCATATTCTGTATGATTTATAGACATGGTTATGAATAAAAGCTTATCCTAATTTTGTATTATTTGAAACAGGTGGGGTTTATAGACTATATTGTTCATCCTCTGTGGGAGACATGGGCAGATCTTGTTCACCCAGATGCCCAGGAAATCTTAGATACACTGGAGGACAATCGAGAATGGTACCAGAGCACAATCCCTCAAAGTCCATCTCCTGCAGCTGATGATCAGGAAGAGGGTAAGCAGACCCAAACTGAAAAATTCCAGTTTGAACTAACACTGGAGGAAGATGGTGAGTCAGACACAGAAAAGGACAGTGGAAGTCAAGTAGAAGAAGACACCAGCTGCAGTGACTCCAAGACTCTTTGCACCCAGGATTCAGAATCCACTGAAATTCCTCTTGATGAACAAGTAGGGGAAGAAGTAGAAGAGGAGGAGAACCAGACAGAACCTTGTGTGGTAGAAGACCATACTCCTAACACGTAACAAGGAGGACGCGGTCTCTTTGTCTCTTGCTCTGTCCCTTTCTTCTCTTTTCTCTCTCTTTTCTAGTTTCTTTTTTCTTTTTCTTTTTTTTTTTTTTTTTAATTGGGTAATGGTTTCTGGAATGTCATCAGTAGCCTATGTCATACGGCATAGACTACAATCATAGTCATAACTCGCTGTCATCTGCCAGGACGTTTGTTGATCAAAACTGATGTTGATGATTCAGTTTGGCACTCAGGAATATTGAAACAGAAATTTTCACCTGCATGGCATCAGAAAGCAGGGAGGAGAACATCCATAAACTACATCTTCATAAACTCTCCATTTGGCAGGTAGGATTAAATAAAGCAAATGTTTTCAGAGGAGTAGCACCTGTCAACTGAATGCTGATATGCTTTGATAGCTTTTGAATTCAAGCAAAGCATTGGATAATGTTTGTCATGAAAGGAAACAGACGAAAAATAAACTGAGGTTCCTACTGGAAAACAAATGACATAAATAATGAGACACAACATGATTCTATTACCAACAGGAAGATGAGCTATGAAAATTGCAAAATTTTAATTTTGTAATTTTGAATCTTCCTGATTGTGATTGAAAAAAAGTGTGACCCAGTGGGTTGCACTAACCTCTGCATTTTGTATATTATGTAAAAGAGAGGTCTTTTGTAGAGCTTACTTTTATTATTAATTTTACTGAGGTATTATATTTAAAGAAAAACACTTTCAGACTTCATCTGCCACTGTTTTCTGCGTTTTGTTGGGGGTTTTTTTGTTTGTTTGTTTTTGTTTTGTTGGGTTTCTTTTGGTTTAGTTTTGGTTTTGTTTTTGGGTTGTTTTTTTCTTCCCACAAAGAGTAACTTGTGAGTTTTCAGTACAAATCTGTGCTACACTGGATAATACTTCTAGGTTTTTCTAGTTTCCTTATTTTTTTTGCACCTTAGACTCTCGTGGTAATATTCAGCTGTAAAAGTATTTTATGTATTAGTGAATTCTGTGAATATCCTTTGTTACATAAAACTCTTTCAGTATGATAGCTTTTTTTGTATGCTTGCTTTTCATCACAATTTTCTCAAATGTATTAGAGGAACTCATGTTTTGATTTTGCCCTTGTAGTGGCCTGATCCTGCCAATTCTGTCTTATTACAACAAGTGGTCCCAGCAAAACTAACTCGGGCCACTAAGACTAGGATTTGCAGGACTAGAGCCCTAGTCCTGCAGGTAAGGAGGACTTAGAAAAGAAAGGTGATGAATCGTCACCTTAATACAAAAGCAGCTCTTCTGCTGTAAAAATTTGTCCCTCTGAAAAATGATTCCCATACTGTTTTTGGCTGGGAACTATAGACTTCTAGGTCAGAACAGGCTAATATAATGTATAAGGTATTTATTCCAGCAAAAAAAAGCATTAGTGTAATATTTCAAATTTTGACTTGGTCTTAACTTTTTATGTGTTAATAATCTCATAAACGATTTGCTAATCTGAGATGCTCACAACATAATGGTAATGATAGCATTATTTTTTCATGTCTCTCTTGCAAGAAGATCCAGGTCAGTTTTGTCGTTTTATGTTTTTAAGTAATGAGTAATGAATGCATCAGGAGAGTTGTTTACTCCACATTATTTTAGTCTATCTCAGACCTTTTCATCCTTTACCCAACTTGTGCTGAGGGAATTCTACTTTTCAGTTTGATTGGTACTGAAAGCTTCTGTAACTTGGAAATTTCAAGAGAGGTAGGAGTTCATATTTGTCATTTTCCAGTCCTGTTATTTTATCACATGAAAGAAGAAGGTATTTTATTTCCTCCACTTGAAGGTTTGAACATATAAGATGGGAAATAGTAGCCTAGGGAAGCTAGTAGCCTCCTACTCTTTAAAATTCTGGTAAAATGTTAATATCAAGATGATTTCTTAACAAAAGAAGATAGCAACAGCCATTATTTCTCCTTTGGATTCATTTTGTAGTAAGTTAGCAGATATGAATGTGGGGGAAGGGGGGTTAAGTGTCTGAGATCTAGAATAAAAGTGATTGGTTAATAATTTAGCTTTTAAATATGTTTTGCATTCTTCTATATCCAGGTCATAGTTTCTTTAGCCCTCACAGGGCTTTAGCACAGAAGATACTGAAGGAGGAAAGACAATAAAGAGAACCCATGGGTTTTTTTCAGTTTTTGACTTTTCTTCATCATTTCTTCCTGAACCCGATCCATCTAAAAGTTCTTTCAGTCCCCAAGAGTGCCTGGAACCTTAATAATGGAAAAGCAATATGAATTCTGAAATAACCAATAGGGACCTGAAGACACTTTGTATCTGCACTAATTGAAAGTAAATGAAGAGAATGACATGTTGTGAGATACACATCCATGTATATGGACAATCGTAGAAAGGATAACATTTCTTAGAACTGGGGATATAATGCATTGTACAATCTTTTTCCTCTTTTGCCAAAGTGTGTTTTAGCATTGTACACTGCTTTAAAACAAAACAATTTACAAGTGGCTTTATGTGTTTTGAATATTTTTGCCATTAAAAAAATGCAGTGAGTAGCTATTGAATGTGTGTGTGGGAAGAAAATTCACCTTGCTTGTAACAGTACACTTTAGCTTGCAAGTTACTGTACTTAATAATGCTGTATTTGAATTCTTAAATTGTTTTGTGTTATTAAAAATGATAATGAAAGAATATAAATAGAACAAATAGCATTCAGAAGTTTAAAACACTTGACTGAATCGGATTTTACAGAAAGCTTTGACAGTTCTTTCTAAACGCATTATTTATTTTATTTGTGCCATGAGTTTTTCTCACCAAATGACCTTACCTGTAATACAGTCTTGTTTGTCTGTTTACAACCATGTATTTATTGTAATGTACATACTGTAATGTTAAATGTAAATTATCAGTTCTTACTATAACATCATCCTTCTCCGGATGGTGTTGCTATCTTTGGAAACTCTTGGCGAGAGAATGATAATTGTGTATACATATTCCCTTTTTTTTTTTCTCCTTAATATATTCAATGCCACCTTAGAGCTTGTTTATGGAAGATTCAAGAAAAGTATAAAATACATAAAGATGTATCAATTAAAAAAGCTGCAGGTCTTTGGTCCCAGGGCTGTGCCTTAACTTTAAAGAATATTTTCCTTCTGTTTGCTGCATTTGAAAGCAAGGTAGCCATGGGGCTAGGGCTGGGCATTTTACCATATTTTTAGTTCCTAACTGATGAGGTTATTTGTACAAGCTAATATACATGATGCTACAATGAACTTTCATTCAAGAGTCTACTGGAAGTTCAAGGTTTTCCAGACATCTGGCAATATAATTGAATTGCCTCTCTGATTATCTTTTTACAGTTTATAACTGGGGATAATTGCAACCAGTTTTTGCTCCTTAAAAAAAATAAAAATTGATGCTGTATACAGCACCAAATTTCACTGAAACAGCTTTGGAAAGCATGTCCTAAAAAGCACTTGATTTTAATGCATAAGGATATAACTCACACACTTTTACAATCATTTCTAATATCCCTTTTTATTTAGTAGCACAAATTATCACGTATACACAGAATCCATAAAGTAGAACAAAAGACAGCTTTAATTTTCAAAATACTTTCCAACACCAATATTAGTGTTAAAGCAGCCAAAGTTTTATTATATATAAATATATATAAGGCTTTGTTCAGGTGTGTAGAGCATAATGCACTTAGATCTACAGGAGTGTGTTAAACCTTTAGATCTTTTAATAACACTAGTATTAGGTTTGCGGGTTGGACTGAGCATCTTTAGCTGTTTGACTTGTCATGTTGCTCCAGAGTACTTGGAGCTGATGACTTTGTCAGAGTGAGGTTAACACCTCTCCTCCATTCCAGCGATGCCCAGCCCTTGTAGCATGCAACTTCTTTGGGAAAGGAGAGAGTCTTTTTCAGTGAAAAACAAAGCCTCCTTTTGGACACAAACTGTAGATTTTAGCAGCCCTGGCCCAAAGGATGTCGATTGCTTATGTTTGAAATGGTATAAAAGGAATACTGCAACAACAGAAATCCTGAACAATTTTTTTGTTACTGTTATAATTTCATTCTTCTTTGGGGATGTCTTGAGAGTGGCAACTTGTGTGAACATTGCACATGACTATTCTTTCACTGGTTTCTTAGCCTCTCTACAGCATAGGGGATAGTAATGTACATCAGTACCTTCATATGAAATTTTATATGCAATGGAAATAAAAGCATGGATTGATTCTGCCTAGTTACTGTATCTGATTTTTCTTTTGCAAGTGAAATATTTTTATATACATCACATAGTTGTGGCATCTTAAGAGAAAGCGTATTTCCGAAATAGTTGTCATCATACTGTTTTGCATAGATAATACAAAATAAATGTGGAGCAAATCAGCAAAGTCAATTAAATGTATTTCATAAAGAAGTCTGATCCACAAAGGTGCTATATAGTTATATAGAAAGGCATACATTCTCAGGTTTTGTGAAATTTTACCATTGTCTTCAGTGGCAAAAGCAGCCTATCCTGAGAAAATAAAACTTCAGCTTTAAAGAAACTGAAAGACTACAGATTGCCTACAGGAGCAATACACTGGGATACCAAAAAAATCACCAGTACCACAGTTAAATATTGACCAGACAACCTTGGTTCTAAGTGGGTGATATATTCTTTTTAAAATAAGGCTAATAAATGATAGTTGTTGTCTTGAATAAGAATGTGGTCTTAATGCAGCTCCAGCTCATTGAAGTGGCTTTTATGCACCTCTCCTTGTGGGAGGAGTGAGGGTTTTGTTTTTTGTTTGCTTAACTGAAAGTAGTTTCTGATTGAATATAAAAAAGATTTTGTCAATTTTTTCCTCAAGTTGCTTAGAGCCTTCTTTTGATTTGGAGTTAGTTTGCAAGCAGTACCCATCCTTAGAACTCATTTTTAATCACACCGTGGTGGCAGAAGAGGCTAGTGAATGTTGTGCTGGGCACAGCCGGGCAGATAAACTGGGTAGTGCCTGTTGTTC